CTGAATTATACCCCACAATTTTAAAATTTAAAAAACATTATTTATTTATTAATTTATTTTATTCATAGTCAATTGCTGCCCTAACTTTTGGGGGCAGAAACTTGCTTTAATGTAGTTACACCAAGTTCTTTTTGGTTACTGTGTATTTGGAACATTTTTTTTTCTATTCTGTTTCTTTCAAATTTTCTCTACCTTTATGTTTTAGGAGCTTCTCATGTGAATAATACATAACTGACTTTAAAAAAATTATTCTGCTAATCTTTGATTTTTAATTGATAATTTTATACCATCAATATTTATTTTAATAATTGGCATAGTTAGAATGATTCCTAATTTTATTGCTATTTTGTCCCAGTTGTTTTGATTCCCTTTTTTTTTTTTTAACTTTCTTGTCTTTTTTTCAGGGGTTTTATTTAGATTTCTTTTTAAAGATGTGGGGTACATGTATTATGTACACAAGTGGTCTACATGCAGGTGAAACTTGGGCCTCTCACTTGTCCTTACTTCCCATGATTTAGGATCAGGTAGCCTTAGTGATGTTACGTTCCCCACCCTGGCAGTTTCCCACTACTACTGATACCTCTCTTGTAGGATTGTGATAAATGTTCAGGACTCACTTATGAAGTAAGAATATGTTGTATTTAGTCTTTTGTTTCTGTGTTAGATCACTGAGTATGATAGACTCTAAATTCATCCAAGTTGTTGCAAAGTCCATGATTTTGTCCATGGACTTTTAAAATCCAGTCCATTTTCAATGAGCAGCAGGGTTGATTTTTTCCCTAACAGGTCTAGTTCCTATTCCTAGTTTGAGAAATGTTTATTTTTGTTCATCTAGTAGTCATCTTAAAAGTAATAACACATAATGAATTTCCAAATTGTGAGTTACTTCTACCCTTCTCCTGAATAAAGCAACAATGTTAGAATGTTTTCAGTCTCCTTTGGATTTAAACATTATGCTATTCCAGTATTTTAATGATAACTTTTATTAAAAAATGTTCACCAACTTTTTTGCTCACCATTTTTTACTGTGCCATATATTTTCTTTCTTGAATTCTGGAATAATTTTTCTTCTTTCTTTGATATATCATTCGAGGTGACTTAGTGAACTTTGGTTGATAATAAACTCTCAGTGTTTGATGGTTTGGAATGTTCTTATTTTCAGTTCATTCTTGAAACATGGATTTTCTTTTTTCAGTTATACAATTCTAGATTAGGTAGTTATTTATTTCAGGACTTGAAACTACTCAGTAGTCTGTAAAACTCTGACACAGCCTCAGTCTAATTGCAGCTCCTTATATGTAGTCTGTCTTTTCTCTCTATTAAGATCTTTTTCTAAATTCTTTTTGGTGTTCTATGATTCACCATAATGTAGGTGAGTATGAATTTCCTTTCTTAAAAAAAATTTAAATTATGCTTTAGGCTAATCATGCTTCCTGAAAATCTTGATTCTTTCATTAATGTGAATAACTATCAGCCATTGTATTTTTAATGGTTTTGCTGCCTATATTCTTTATCTTATATAGTTCTGGAATTCTGATTAAATTTAGATTACATTTTTATTCTCACTTGGTTTTTCTTAATTTCGCTTTCAGAGTTATATATATATATATATACATATATATATATATCTTTTACAGCACAGAGAGAGAATACATATATATTCTCTCTCTGTGCTGTATTCCAATTAATTAATTTTATGGAATGTATCTTTAAGTTCCCACACTTTCTTTTCTGGTTTCCTTAATGTGCTATTTAACCTATTCAGTGAGTTCTTCAGTTAAAGTATTGTACTTTACTAAAATTTATATTTGACATATTTCAGATCTTTCTAGTTATTCTTTACAATCTTTTATAGCTTATTTGTTTTCCCTCTGTTGCCAGAACAAATTCTACAAATGTAGTGGTTGAGAACAATACTCATTAATATCTTACAGTTCTGTAGATTTGAAGTCCAAAGTAAGTCTCACAGACCTAAAATCACAGAATCTGGAGATCTACATTTCTTACTGGAGGCACTTAGGGAGAATCTGTTACTAGTCTCCTGTAGGTTGTTGGCAGAATTTGGTTCTATACAACTGTAAAATTGTGGCTCCTGTTTCCTCAAGGAGTTTCAGCCAGGGGTCATTCTCAATGTCAAGAAGCTGCCTGCACTCTCTGGCTTATGACACTTTCATCTTCAAAGCCAGCAATGGTGGATCTGGGCTGAGTGCTTCTCATGCTTCAAATCCCTCTAACTTCTCATTCTGTTTTGTTTCACCCACCTGACACTTTGTCAACCTCTTCTGTTTTTCAGGGCTCATTTGATCTCATTGGGTACACCAGGCTACTCTCTATTTTAAAGTCAGTTGATTAGTAACCTTAATTACATCTGCAAAATACCTTCACAGCATGACATCAGTGTTTGATTGAATAACCAGGAAATAGAAACCTTAAAGGGACATTTTTAGAATTCTGTTGAGTCATACTTATATTTCCAACACTTTTTAAATAACTTTCAAACATTGTACTTCCTTATTTTATACTCTGTATTTGATCATTATGATATCTATTTTTTCTTGAACGTTGGATTCTGTTTCTTTTGTTTATGTAGACTTTTGCATCCTGTGCTTTATGTCCTGGTGGAATTTGTAAGGCTTGACTAAAATCTCATGTAAAGTTTAGCCTTTTTTTGAGTTTGAAGGTATTCCTTCTTTTGTCAGATATTTGAGAATACTACCAAATCAGAATTGTTCTAAAATAAAGTTTCAGATTACACCTATCTCCTTTCTCTGCCCAACACACACACACACACACACACACACACACACACACACACACACCCAGGTGTTGAGACTTTAGGTTTCTAACTTGCATGGTTATGAATTTTCAAGGGAGATCTTATCGCCCTCCTCCTAGTACTTAGACCAAAACAAGAAAGTTCTGTTGATGTGTCCTTCTATGGGTTGAGTTTTTACCTAGCTTACAATTTCACCAAATATAGTCCTTTGAGATCCTAACTCTATGTTGGTTTCCATTTAGATTCTAATTTGGCTGGATTCTAGCTTTGTCTTCTATCCTTTGTTCCCTTTGTAGCCAGGGAACTTGAAGATCTCTAGAGATTAGTAGTTGGTACTCTCAGTTCTTGTTTAAATCTCTGGATTCTTGCTTGTGTTTTATCTTTCTCTTTTTAGTAATTCCATTATTTTCTTGCAGATACAATTGTATATGTTCTCCAATATTATTAATTATTTGGCATAAGGAAGATTCCTTCCCCCCATATTGACACCACTATATATACTAGCAGTAGAAAAGTACCTTTATTTCTTTATTAAAGCCCTGTGTCTTTTTTTTTTTCTAGACAAATGAAGATTTCCATATTTGGAAACCTTTTAATTTCTGTCTCCATTGTATGCTATTTTTACTGGCACATTTACATGGTACACAAGTCAATTGATTGACACAATTAATGTGCCACAATATTGTTTTGTCAATTTTTGCTAATACTGTTCATTAGTAGTATTGGCTAAAAGTATGTACTTTCCTACCTCCCAAGCTGAAAAGAAAAGAAGAAAGCCCCAGATACCATGGTGAAAACATTACACACATTTAAGAGAAAGAAAGTCTGAATTCCAGAGTTGCTGACATGTACAGCAGCAGTTGGGGTGAGTGAAAAAATATACATATGCCAGCGGAGGCTTCCAAGTGCTTGCAGGAACTGGCAGTAAATAGGCACTTAGTGAAATTGCTACTATTATCTAGATAAGATCCAATCCTAAGTTAGATGCTGAAATTTAAAGTGACAAAGATGTCTAGTCAACCTTTAAGTGGCGATCAAGATAATAATAAAAACATTATCTATCATAAAGTGGAAGGACAAAAGTTTGTTTTATCATCTGTTTAGGATTGCTTTCTGGAAACTTTCAAAGACAGTATGCAACCCCCATACTAAAAGAAATTGAGAACTTTGATGTAAATGGGACAAATGTGAAATGAATAAATTATTGTTGATGTATCAACCAAACATAAAGATATGGCAAGAGAACTATATGGCTCAATTAAGCAAATTTTAACTAAGTATTATTTTTCATGTACTCAGTTGACAGAGTAATTCATTAAAATTATTCAAGCTGAAATGTGTATATTATTTTTGTGAGACCGAAACTTACTCATAATTTGAAAGTCATTTTATTTGTTATAATAAAAAATGCATCCATCATATAATTCAGCAGTAATAAATTGAATGACTAGAAAAAGGCAGAAATGTAATAAATACTATGGATCATAAATAAATGTCTAAAATATGAGAGGGAAAGAAACAAGTGAGTAGAATGAACATAGAAGATTTACACAAAGCAGTTAATACTATATTTTATGCTTTAAATGCAAAAACTTTTCCTGGAAAAAATGTTTTTTTATTTTTTGCGGTGGCTGGGAGCAGCCACTGCACTCCAGTCTGGGCGACAGAGTGAGACTCCAACTCAAAAAAAAAAGAAAAATAAATAAAGCAAGCCTTATCCATAACTCTACAAAATGCATTTGCAGGGCACTGAGATCATAAAGGTAGAAATTATATTAATCTATCTACAGGGTCAAGTAAAAATTAACCCTTATCTATGAGTTTTCTGCTAGTTAGTCATATTCAGCTATGACTTCGGATTTTCTTCATACATTTTAATTTTCATGCCATATGTTTATATTAAGAATAATCTGCCTGGATTTTTTAAAAATAAAGAAATGCATATTTCATTTAAAGTTTTTGTCTGCATCACCAGATGACCACAGCTTTGATTTTTCAGCAAATTATCTTGAGCAACAGTACAGAAATGATTTATCCATATACCCAATTAACTTGTATATCCTATTTTCTATTTTTAGTTTCATGGAAAGTTTCTGAAATAATAAAATGGTGTTTGAAATGTTTTCCAACTGTAAGATGAAGTGAATGGCCTAATCTCTTTAAAGGTCAAGTTATAAATTATTCTTATGATGAAGCAAGATGCAGATGGTTCACAAGCAAAATCTCAACGATAGGTTTCTTGATGAAGGCACTTAGATGCTCTTTGGTTGCATCTCAAAAAGAATATGAACTCTGAGTTATAACAGCAGGTTTTGAATATTCCCGGAATTGCAGCAGCTACACCATAACTGATTTAAATGTCTCATCAGTTAGAGTCACATTGTGCAATGAATTAGTAATGCTTTCCAAAAGTTACCACAAGATAGTCAGAACTTTTGTGCATATCATGGCATGGTTTCATTACTAATCACAGGAGCCCAAGAAGGATAAGTGTAGAGGTCAAACATGGGTACAATCCAGGTGTACATGCCAAGCATCACCACGGCAACACCAACAATATTCACACCAAGTCCAGCTTTAACCTTGAACAAGAAAGAGCATAAATGTCAGAATTCGAACACAGTGTGGAAAATATATGTTAGGTTTACATGTATCCTAAAGGATTAGTAAAAATTGTCATTTCTTAAAATCAGGGGTTCTCCTTCATTCATATTAAAAGAAATTGTCCCCAACTAAACTCCCTTTAGAAGGAGAGTCTCAGTGAGGCTTCTCTTAGGATTATACCCAAGTCATTCTGATTAGAGAAAAATCCCCTTCAAAACCTGCCATTTCCTGTTAAATCAGAATGTGAGTTTTGTGGTTTTGTATTTCAATGGATAAGGTTCAGGACACAATATGATAATTGTGCCCTTCATATTCACTCAATATTATTAGTAGTTTATCCTTCAACATTTTCTTATTGAGACTTTACACAACCATTTCTGTTCATCTTTCTTAGAGTCCTCATGTCTTTAGCTCTTGTATCATCATTCTGGTGTCCACTGAACAATTTCAACATTGCTTTTTACCTATTAAAATAGAGTTTAACAAATTACTGCCCTTGACCTGTTTTTGTAAATAAAGTTTTGTTGTTTCTTTTTTTCTTTTTTTTTTTTTTTGAGTTGGAGTCTCACTCTGTCACCCAGACTGGAGTGCAGTGGCCGCTCCCGGCCACCCCAGCCTCGACCTGCTGGGCTCCGGCGATCCTTCCGCCTCTCCTTCCGCCTCAGCCTTCCAAGTAGCTGGAACTACAGGTGTGCACTACCATGCCCAGCTAATTTTTGGATTATTGTAGAGATGAGGTCTCGTCAAGTTGGCCAGGTGGGTCTCGAACCCACGGACTCAGGCAATTCACTCAGCTCAGCCTCCCAAAGGCGTGGGATTACAGGCTGAGCCACTGAACCCGTCTTGTAAATAAAGTTTTATTGGCCCACAACTGTGCTCATTTGCTTACATATTTTCTTTGATTACTTTCACGATGCAATGGCAGAGTTGAGTAGTTGTGACAGAGACCGTATGACCCACAATGTCTCAGATATTAACTATCTGACCCTTTTCAGAGAATGTTTACTTACCACTGCATTCTCTGCATTAAAGCATGGAGACTCAAAGCAAAAGGGATATCTAGCAATGAATATTACAGAAACTCTCTTCTCTGTTCATGCAAGCAAGACCCTCATTTATTCCAGAATCCGGTTCTTATTCTTTTTAATGTACATACATCCGGTCTTGCTTATATTGTATTATGCATATTTTCTTTACCAAAAGGTTATTATGTAACTTCTTTATAGAGGCAGTTCCAGAATTTTTATGTTTCAGGGTTTAGAAATGGTAATCTGCATGGGAGAAAGGGAGCTGATATTTACCTTGAAACTGCATTTGCACAGACAGCTCACTGAATTTACTTTCATTATATCATTGTTTGGGTTGGTTTGGAAGTTGGTGATTAGGGGACAAGTGGGCTAGAATAGTCTCAAGCCAGCTCCTAACTACCACTAATTTTGTATTTGGCAAAAGATGTGTGTATCAGTAAGATTATTCAGTACTACTTGCTTGTGTTTTCATATCAGGTGCCAGTATTAGAATCAGAACAAGAAAGATGTCTTTCATCAGTCAGGCGCTAACCCAATGTCTTCTTCAGACCAAATGTTAGTTGCATAAATATCTATAACAGCAAAGCACAGTGTTGCTGTGATGGCTGGATTTCATTAACACCTGTTTCTTCCTTTTGCCTTGATCAGGTTGGTTCTTGATCTTGACATGTAAGTTTAAGTTGTTGTGGTGAGCATATTCAATGCTCTTTTCTTTCTTCCAGGGTATTACTGATGCATCCAATACTCTGTGTCTGTGACCGTAAATTCTAATGACTTGTTTGCTTTGGGTTATCACTCTTAAAAACAATTCTATGATCAGTCATGCACACAACTTCATAAATAGAGCTCAGGTCACGCTTTTCCTAGAGGTTGATTAGTGTATAAAAGGAAAGATAATTCAACACATCACACACAAAATGAGTATTGGATCTGCTAGTATTCTTTCAGTCTAACTCACCATATCAATGACTTTCAGATGGCCATAGGAAAAGACAATAGCATTACATGGATTTGCTACTGGTAGAAGGAATGCAAATGAAGTACACAGAGTAGAAGGTATCAAAATCAAAAGAGGGTTCACATGAATGGCTTCAGCCTGTTTAGAAGATAAAAAGTAGCCTAAGTAAAATGTTGAGAGCAGGCACCAAACATCAAAATGAACAAATTTATTATAATAAACTTTCCAAGAGGCAAGTTGAACCCTAATGACATAAAATTATACACATCGATGCAGCTATAACATGAAGGGAAAATGTTTAAAAAGTATCTCTTCCTTTTGTTGTTTAGACAATTATCAGTACTGATTTGAACATTATAGTCCACATTGCTTAGAAAATGAAGTATCCTTAATTCCAGAAACTAAGTAAAAACAGCAACCATTTATTATTTATCTAGTGTTAGGTGCTGTGCTAAATGTTTCTATATATATTCATATATTTATATCTAAATAGCTTATATATAATATATAATAGTATCATTCTCTTCATATAGTTATAGTATATACATTTAAAATTTATAAATTTATTTAAATTTTTCACAATGATCTTATGAGATGATTACCATAACTCAAGTAACAGACAAACTGAGTCTCAGAGCAGCTGAAGTAACTTGTCAAAGCAGGCAGCTGACAAGCAACAGAGTTTAAGGGTCTCAGGTTCCTCTGGTTCCAGAGCTTCTCATTATACCATAAACTTTACTGCTTCTGTGATTTATGTAATTTAAATTTTGCTTAAGGATTATCACATAAGAAGAGTTACAACTATTCTTAATTCAGTACATAATTTTCTAACTGCTCCATGTTGATAAATTTAAAAGACAGGAAAAACCCCAAATGCTATTTTGCCAATATAAACAGCCTACATGTATATATATATATATTTTTTCCTAATTTGAAGTAGCAGCTTAAGAACATCAACATATGCCCCTTGAGCTGGTAGAGGAACAATTCCAGAAAGACAATCCTCTTAATTTAAAATGCTTTGCTTTCACCAAATTCATCCCTCCCAATAAGAAAAACATTTTACTTAAAGCTCACTGTTTCTTGTAATTGCTAGCTAGATGGAGAAAAGAAAACAAGACATTCTCATCCTGTCTCTCTTAGACAACCCACTTCTTACTTTAAAAAAAAAAAAAAAAATTCTTCCCCGGGCAGTAGAAAACTGTGTCTAAGATATTTAAGCCTGAATTCTTAAGTATAAGTCAAATTTTTCATTCCTTTGCAAATCACTTATATGAAGCACTTCTCAGAAATTTAGAAACAATATTCTGGAGTGAGAAGTGACAGTGTTAGAAATCTAAATACTACGGTTGCCAAGAAACACTGAGTCCTGTTTTAGAACTGAAATGGATCTAGTCTGACCCTTTCATTTATCTGCAAATGAAAAAAATTGAACTGAGAGAAAGTAAGTGGTTCACTGAAGAACATGTTGCTTGAACATAAAAATTTGAAGACAGTTGAGTCAAGGTCCACTAAAAGCATGAATGCAAATAAAGACCACACTGTAAGTTACTTAAAGGAAGCTCATTTAACTCCCCTCCCCAAGATACCATATCACAATATGAGGACAGCATTCCAAAGTAGAACATAACTCTTGAAGAGTATAAATGGGGAAAATGGGATACTTACCAATGGAGATAATATTGGGAGAAGAAGGGTAATGGTAGCTGGATTGCTGGCTACTTCAGTTAAAGACGTGACCATCAAAGATGATATCAGAATTATCAGCCATACTGGTAGTGAACCCAGAGGAGATAATTTATTTCCTATCCATTTAGATAGCCCTGACTCCTAAAAAACAAATTTGCAAAATCTGTTATTCATTAATAACTCATTTGAATCAAGCACAATTTACATACATGAAAAAGTTATCTGTTCTGAAAGTTCAGTTTCTAAAATATAATTGTTGTCTCTCATTTTTCTGTGGTTTGGTTCATCTGGTGGCTTTGATAATAAAGGAGCTGTCACTTATTCTTATTTTAATGCTATTGGCATGTTTTAGGAAGTTTGAAATGTCTTCGCATTGTTTTTCAATTAAATTTTAATTGCATCTAATTAATATATGTGGATATTTTAGCAAGACATATAGCATTGTGAAATTTTAAGAAAAGAGTAGACCTCCTGGTTCACCTTTCCCTTTTCTCAAATTATATTCTCTAGAAGCAACAACTTCCAACTCTTCCTAGCTGTTTATAGCTATATTGAGGTATTGATAGTCATCTTTTAAAGTAGTATTTTAATTATGCTTTTTTCCTTAATTTTAGGATTTAGACATTGTTACTGACTTTCTGTGTTACATGAGGATTAGTTTTCTTGTACCATCCATACATACATATATTTCTTGCCTCTTCATTCCCCTATATTCATATATTGACATTTTTTGTTAAATAAATGTTTAATGTTTACCATTATGATTATATAAATATTGTGTATAGCTAAACCTCTTAGCATAGTATGATTGGGTTTACTTTATTTTACTCCACCTCCCTGCCACCAGGAAATAACTACCTCTTTTTTTTTAATGTTTGTTTAGTTTTTAAAGTACCTATCACTAATTCCTCACCCTCTCCAGGAAAAACTCCCCGACAAATAGACAAACATATCAGGTAAACTTTTTCATGCCCCCCCCCCAAAAGATGTCTACTCTGGAATATTCTTTCCTCCTGCTTAATCTGGTTTAGTTGCTCCTTCAATTTACTCAACTGCTGTTGTTCTGGAAACCCTCTTTACCTTCACACTGTGAATCTCTCCTTTTCCTGCCCACTTTATGGGAATCCTTTCTTGTTTACTCCTTTGTGATGTGGGAGTACATCCTTGCATAACTTCCTGAGAATTGATGCAAGGATGGGTATATTTTTTGAGTCTCTACCTGTCTGAAAATCTTCTTAATTTCTTTTCACACTGTTTTGATAGGTTAGTATTTGTAGAATTCTAGATTCGGAGCAATTGTCACTCAGCAGTTTTAGGTCATTGCTCTATTTACAGTGACTTCTACTTGGAATTTTTAGAAACCTGATCACATTCTGATCTTTGAATCATTAGAGATAGTACAGAAAAAATGATTGCACTCAGATTGGCCAGCATGTTCTTTTTTGTTTTTAACCTCCAATGGAACTGAAAATTCTCCTTTTGTGAGATTTCAATGAGCTGTATGAAACTTATACACATGACAAGTGGAATTGGCATTAAAAATGCTCTAATTACAAGCGGTACACATTGAGATAAGAAATTGGCACAAACATTCCCAGATGTGAGTACCATATATCATATGTGGTTTTGACTTATATTTTTGTTTGTTTGTTTCTTGTTATGACTTTCAGACAAAAAAAAACCCCACAAAAACTCTCTACCATTCTAGTCACATTGACACAAATTCATCCTAGCATACATACACTTTAAGAATACATTTAGTCTATGTCTAATTAGACGTGGAAGAGATAACATCACATATTGTTTCCCTTCTCTGGAGGCCACTGAGATCATACCATCATCCTGAGAGTACTGGGCACTCAGTAGCTCTCTCAGTCCAGAATCTCAAAGTCTCCAGTTCTGGGAAATATCTCATATTATTTTTCAGAAATGTTATTCCTCTCGATTTTCCCTTTCTTTCTGAAATTCATATTAGTTGTGTGTTGGACATTTTGGATTGAGGTTCTAATTTTCTTACTTCTTTGTGAGCCAATATATCATTGGTTCAATTTTGCTGCATAGGAAATCTCAGTTTTCTTTCAGGGAGAAGACAGTTGCCTGGCTATTCAGGCTTGAGTAAATATCTGGGAGGCCCACAGCTCCTTGAACACTTTTTAAACCTCCCTCATGTTTTGCTCTGGCTTTATCCTAGCTTTCAGAGGTATCTGCTACCTCCAAATCCTGAGCTTTTCTAAGATTCTATGGATAAATCATCTTATTTCTTATTGGATCTTTCATTTTCCAGACTACAGATTTCATCATTCACTACATCTTCTACTTATATAAAGTCAGTTACCCTCAAACGTCCTCTTTCCATTACCTACATTTTATCAGTATCTGTTATTGTCCCTGTCATGTCACCTTTGTTTTCATGGACTGGCAAGCCTTTATTCTGTTATTGCTATTTTAGTGGAGATACTGAAATAAATAGTGTTAAATCCTCCATGTTTAACCTAAGGGAATTTTGAGGTATGTATGAGGAGTTATTCACTGATAAGAATTTAAAAGTGATTAAAAAAAAGCTCATGAGAGATAGACCATGTTAAAACAAAATCAAGGGCATTTAAGAGAAAAGTCATTGTAATGAGATAAATGTCTAGCAATTGGTATCTCACTATTCTGTTCCCAACTATAATGGATATCTGGTTTTGTACATTTGCTGGACTAATTATAATTGGAATAAAATGTTTAAAGTTTAACTCCAAATATTTGTAAACCCCCCTTTTAGGGGCATATGTGTCTATAGCCATATTTTTAAGCTCAAGGCTTTTAATCTAGCTTTTGGGATAGGTTTACTCTGAATATCCCATAGAGATCTGATTTTATGTCCTAAGATTTTTATAGCAAACTAGACCTCCATCCATGGTTTCCCTAATTCTTTCACTGAGAAAAACATGTTTATCAGACTTAGTTCACATCTTTTCATTTCCTCAGATTTTTATTTGCTATGGTCTGGCCAATGCTTTCAAAACCACTTTGAATGTCTCGTGTCCTATCTAAACAGACATTAAACAAAAGAGAAATGAGCAGAGCTCATATCAGTGCCAGATTTGTTGATTCTGATTTCCTCACAATTCAAATTTCCAGACATAGGAATAGAAGTGTTTTTATTCTGAGAATCCAGATCTTGCTCCTGCTGAAATAATAGGAAAGAAGTGTATTTGTCTTATATATCTACGATTTTTATTTGGAAGGCCTATGAGGCAAGTCAAATCTAGACCTTAAAACAATGCCATAAATGACACTCAGTATTCAGACCATTTCCAAGACTTGCAGCTTTTACTAAATATTCTTTCTGAAACTCATCTAATTGGATGCAATTTAGATACTGTCAATAAATTTAGAAGTAGAGAACAATCTTCTTATAGGCTGTGAAAAGAGAAGGGACAGTTATTTGTTTTGAGAAGTACAAAAATTTAACTTCCTGACAGCACTTTTCTCACTATTATTTTCAATTGAATAATCTAGTAAGGAAACAGAACAGCCATCCGTTTTGAGTACTTCACATCAGGCTATACATCCAGAAGTGTTTGGTTTTTTTTAATTATTAATTTAATCATATAGGAATTTCATGGAATTTTTGGAGAAGATATTTTTCTTCCAGCAACACTATAATGACCAGGGCAAGGGCTTCCCCCAAACTGCAGCTTTATATCAGTTAGAAAGATAGGCCAAAGAAATAACCATCTTATTTCTTATGATCTTTGGATTTCTTCCTAAGATTAGGCATAATATAATATTAGACATACTTATGTGAAATCCTCTCTAGATTTTATCCAATAAACATTTATTAAATACCATTAATGCTAATATTATTTCTCATCCTTTTATTTTTAACAGCGACAGGATCATGATATAAGAAGTCAAGAACTACTCAAAGTCATCATGAAATAAAGTAAAGGCATAAACAAACAAACAAACCATTTGTTTCACTAGTAGTTACTTTACATATCATTCTTATGTAAGTTTTTTCTTACAAAGCTGGTCTTCTAATACTATTTCATGGCTTAAGAATCTTTATATTTTTTGTGTTATTTCTTTTGTCATGCTGAAACACCATAAAAATAGTGTTTTATGCTTGCAGCCTGTAAAATTTCTTGAACTCTGAACTCACCTCATCTCTGTGGTATACACGCTGCATAGCTATTAAAATTTGGACCTTTAAAATGACAGAGTAAAGCTGAATATGTCCAAAGCTTGAATGTCTCTGCGTTCTTCTTTGAACAGTGTAATTAATTGTTAAATATCTTAGATGCTGCATATTACCTCACAACCATCTGCCAGCGCAAACCCTCCGCCGACAAGAATTGCTATATCCCAGGGCATGAATGACTGAAATTCCTTCCAGGTAATCAGTGGAGAGTAATCAAAAGCAACTGCAAAACAAAAGATCTATAGTTACACATTGCTTAAAATATCACAATATGACTTTTTTGGTATCCTAAATAGCCATCTTGCAAGAAGTTTGTAATATTCCTATATTGCTTTTAAAGAAGTAATCTGGACTTTGAAAAATTTCAACCTGGTCTAGGTAGAACATTATATTATTTAAAAAAATGCTATAACTTAGAAAATTCCTTTTGATAGTAATATAGAATATACTTAGATGAATTATAACATTGACACTTATAATGCTACTTACTCATTCACTCATTCATTCCACTATCAACTTTGCCTGCTGTAATGAAGTGCATTAGACTATACTGTTCTTTGCTCTGCAAAATGTCTATAATATTCACTGGTTCCCAGAGGATCAATGTGAATTTTAATTATATTTACTAATATTTACTTGAAAATTTTATCATTTTAAAAATTATAAGAAGGATAATGAGCCGGGCTTGGTGGCTCAGCCTGTAATCCCGCGCCTTTGGGAGGCTGAGGTGAGTAGATTGCCTGAGCCCGCGGGTTCAAGACCCGCCTGGGCAGCGAGACCTCATCTCTACAATAAAATCAAAAAATTAGCCGGGCATGGTAGCGCGTGCCTGTAATTCTGGCTACTCGGAAGGCTGAGGCGGAAGGATTGCCAGAGCCCAGTGGGTCGAGGCTGCGGTGGCCAGGAGCTGTCACTGCATTCCAGGACGGGCGATAGAGTGAGACTCCAACTCAAAAAAAAAAAAGAAGGATAATGATGAATTCACCAGAATTCCAGTTTAAAGATAATTCAAGGTTCAGATTGAACAATTTAAATATGATTTGTGAGATTCTTAACATGCTCATAAAACAATTATAGAGATTTCTCTTGATATTTGGGTTATGATCTCTCCATCGATTTGTGGATAAATTAGTTCATTGGGGATATATTATACACATTTAACATTTGTATATAACAGGCAGCCTTCTACACAGTAAGATTTTAAGTTTACTCCTAAGCTTCCTTTCTATCTTCTTTCCCCAAAATCAAACCTGATGACTGAAATTTTGTTGCCAGGTTTCCTACTTGGATTATGGCCATAAATCCAATTAAAAAGTAAACATCACTGAAATGTTCTACTTATTTAAAATTTAACATATTATGTCTTATTTGTCATTTTAAAGCCTTGTATGAATAAGATTATCAGAGAGAACAGGTGTTGAAGAATGAGAGGAAGAAGGAATGAACAAGGGAGGGGGTTCAGATGTGGGAACCAGGAAAGCTGAAGCTATCCTCAGACTCGCTACTTTGACTGCTATGGTCAGAGTCTCGGAGTCTCACAGAAATCAGCACTTCATATTACAACAGTTCCTTAACATACATTGAGATATGCTAATCTCAAGTAAAAAACAAAAGATATTTATTTCTATGATATGTGGTTCACACTTATCATGTCCTAGAAATCTGGTACATTAATTAACCTAGGGATTAACTAATTAGCCTAGGGATTCTGCCTCAAAAAGTCAGGTGGGCTAACCCAACTGCATGAATTCCAGTAAGGGCAAACGGATAAACTACAGCTCTCATGGTTTATTTCCAGACAGTTACAAACCATTTGTCCCACACTGACATTACAGGAATCTAATTACCCAAAACACGCTGAGTTAGTATAGAGAAAAGATATGGATGAATCCTAAGATTAGGAAGTGTGCATGTGTGGATGGGTGGTGGTGGTGGTATGCCCATGCAAATATGCACACTTCTTTGTCCAAGTGAGGTAAATACAGTGAATGCTACCACTGAATACCTTTTCTTCTAATTCTGACTCTAGATTATGGGTAAATTAGATTGATCTGCTTTTTCTCCAGGACTACTATAAAGCTGCCAACGCTCTTTCTCTTGACATTCCTCACCTTTTTTAGATACTCAACATTTATTACCAAGGGCTCATCATGAAGCAATTACCTATACATTTTTGTCCCTATGTTTTCCAATAGTAAGATTAATTCTAATTATGGTAGGGAAAATGGGTTATCATGAGTCAAATAGTACCACTCGTAACAGAGCGCAAACATGGTGCAAAAGGAAATCTATTTCTCACTTCTGCAAAGTAAGATGATCCCTCTTGTGGGTGGAGGATGTGTTGACTGAATAGAGGATTGCAGGGTACAAATAGGGCATACTGAGCCAAGGGTTGTACCTACTGCGTATGATCACTCTTGTTGTCAGTGCTAACTGAAACAGATGGCATTTTACACTTTTTGATCTTCTATAAGATTTAGTCAGAATTAGAAATGATACTCAACCAATTTCTCCTGTTGGTGTAGTTTTAGTCAGCTTCTTAGCTGGGATAAGAAAGAATAGGAGTCCTACAAGTAAGGCCACAGTTGAATCTGTAGCAAAACCAGAGTACCTGAAAAAGGACAAATACGTGTATTAAAGAAATAGCATCAAGAACTCACATGAGCTAAACCATCAATCAGGTATGCTGATAGTGTTTCAGAAGTAGTGGTGGTATAGGTTATTTATTCTGGATAATCTGCTCCAAAAATTCATAGATTCCCAACTAAATGGCATAATACTAGAATAAACAATCTTAGACCACATTCCCTCTGTTTCCATATATTTCTCCTTATCTCGGTACCGATGTATACACATGCTGATGTACAAGACCAACGTGGCAAATTTCCCTTTAAGATAACTTTACATATTTGTAAAACATTTTTTCTTTGAATTGTTTCTTATAATTATGTTGGCAGAGAATTCAGGTTGAAACAATTGCCAGAGTAGGCAAAGCCTTACTTGTAGGACTCCTATTCTTTGTAACATCCTTCTATCACATTGTGGCAAGGCATGATGTTTCTGGAGTCCCCTAAAACTCTTCTGTAAATTGCAAAAAGGAATCAGTCTGTTTTCTAAGGTATTACACCTGCACCTGCTTCTGTGGTTATACAAATGAAATCAAACTATTAAGTGCTTTGCATCCTATGAAATGCAATGAAGAATATTAATTATTGGAGTGGCTTATGCAATGCCCATAAATGATCACTGAACAAATTAAGAGTCTTAGAGTCACTAGGCCATTTCAGCAAATAAGACAGGTTCCCAGTAGCCTCAACAATTAAGAAGAACCTGGAAACCCAAATAGAAATAAAATAAGTGTAAATCAAATATAATTTTAAAAGTCAGCAATATCAGTGAATGCATTTTTGTAGCTTGAGAAGAAATATGGACACCCTAAAATTATTTTGCTATTTTGTAGACCAGCAACGTGTATATACCACAAAAGCTTCTCTAGTTCTGCAATTTACTTGAAAAATCTAAAAAATTAAGGAAATGCCTCATCTTTCTCAATCTGGCAATTCTTTATTTTTTTTAAAGTGAGAAAGCAGGATTTATTGAGAGAACAGAAGAACTCCCACAGTGGGAGGGGACCCGAAGGGGCTGCCCCTCAATCTAGCAATTCTTAAAGCAGCCAACTTTTCTTAAGCATAGACTTATTTTGTTTCATTATTGATTTAAAAATCTACCTTAGCATATTTCACTTTACAAACTAAATTTATAATTTTATTTGTTCTTATTTATTTTATTTCACTTATAATTTTTGATTGAATTTTTAGCAAATTGGGCCAGACATCTTGTTACCGGATTTTGTTTTATATGAAAAGACACATTGAATTCAGTCCAGGTACAAACAGATGGAATGAAAACATTAGGTGGTAGTTATAAATCTTGATATATCATTCTAGCTTTAGAAATTCTAAATGCTGAAACCTCTACATAACAAATGTATTCTGCAGGATATATACTTTAAATAAAATTAAAGCATAAATACTGAAATAATTTGTTTTCAAAAGATTTAAAAACTATTATTATCTCCTCATGACTTATCTTTAGTTTATTATAAATTAAGTTAGGCTGTCTCAGTATTACAGGATATTAGGCTTATACAAATTTTATTTTCTTTGATTTTATCGATTGGATTTTTTTTTTTTCAAATCCCACCCTTTTCCAACTTTGTTCCTTTCCTACTGTTCTCTCTTGGAATTCTAGGTGACACGAACACTTTCCCATAGTCGATATACTGTTTTGTTGTTACAAACAAAACATCTCTGGTATTACATTTCCCTCCCATAAGAAACACATTAGAAACTGATTGTATAAATTTCCTGTTGTGATTTCTTGACTGGATTTTATTAACTATTGTCTGATTTCGTTCACTTCTTACACGCTGTTGTTTAAAGAAAGACTCTCTTACCTAGAATGATAGGAGGTGAATTTTATAAAGGGGCAATAATTGATTTTTTTATACTGGTCTAGATCCTTCTGTAAAATCACAAAGTACTAATCGACTATTAAACAATAACTTGCTTTAAATAATTGACTGATGCTTTTTGCTTAGAACTCTCAAAATGAAAAGTTTTACTCCCAGAGGAAACAGAAAGTTTAAAAAGTTGAAGTCAATCCTTTAAAACATGCTACCACGTTGTATTACTTGACTTGTGTGATCATCAGAAATTTGCATTCAGACTTTTCACCCTTTAGAAAATATGGAAAATGCCTATAAAACCAGATGGTTTTGATTCAGGAAAAGAGGCATTTCTTTATTCCATGTGGGCAGAATATATTTGACCTAAAGTATTTTTGTTTCTGCCCCTAAATACTTGGACTCTTACTGGGGAATGTGAAACAGGAAGTCTAAGTAAGAAATCTGCTGAATTTAGAAATTAGAGCAGTTCAGTAAAAGATAGATTGGGAACACAAATCTCACAACCAAATTATTTATATTGACATGTAGGATGATCCTTAATTTAGAAAATTATGCTATACTCTTACCCATCGCTGCTCATGACTCAGCAATGACTGCTGGTATATAAAACACTGAGAGATAAAATTAACTCTGACTCAGCTTCTAGCATGAGCTTTTAAAATCTGTCATCACTTATTCAAGGATTCCTTATCTATGCAATGGAGGATGGGCTGAATCTATAGTGAACTAGGGCAAAAATATGTACACAAATGAAGGAAAAGGCGACCTATTGAACCAAATAAACAGTCCTCTGAAAAAGTAAATAAAATTAAGTTGGCAGAAATCACAGAATATGAATGTATATCAGAGTATTAAAAGGCCGTAAGTGGCATTTATTGCATATAATAAACATTTATAGGCAGGGCATGGTGGCTCATGCCTGTAATCCTAGTACATTGGGAGACTGAGGTGGGAGGATTGCTAGAACCCAGGAGTTGGAGACCAGACTGAACAACATGAGACCTCATCTCGACAAAAAAATAAATATATAAATACATAAATAAATAATTAGCCAGGTGTGGTGGTGCCCGCCTGTAGTTCCAGCTACTTGGAGGACTGAGGTGGAAGGATCACTTGAGCCCAGGAGGCTGAGGCTGTGGTGAGGTGTAATTGTGCCATAGCACTCCAGCCTGGATGACAGAAAGAGATCCTGATTCAAAATAATAAACAAACAAACATTTTTATAGTACTTCCTATAGGGAGAAGGGCAGTACAATTCTGAGTGCCATTATTACCTTCATAATACAGATGAAGAAACGGAAAGTTAAGCGACTTGTCCCAAGTAAGTTCAAGAGTGTAGAATGGAGCCCATGCAGTGTGACTCCAAATTCTGAACTGCTGATCACCAGAAAACATAGTCTTTCTGCAGGTGATATTTCTAAGTTTGTAAGGATGAGACTAGCCTTTTCTAGTGGAAGAAGGCTAGAGGGTAGTGTGGTTATCCTTTCTGTGGTCTTACTTTAGATTTCATTCCTTAGATTTTGTTTTTCCTGAAAAGATTGGAATTAAAATAGCTTTTCAAGGGAAAGGAAGAAAAAATAATCTCATACAATCTTTCAGAGTTGCAGGAACCACATAGGAGAAAAGCACAGAATAACCAGGAAGGACTGACAAATAGAATATGGAACACTTACTCTGAAAAAAGTGCAGACCAACCAGAAACAAACCCAGGGTCTCGACTAAACCACAGCAGAGCCATTACAATGAAGAGGACCAAAGTCACAATTTCTTGATATCTGTGGAAAAATTTCAATGCTATCATTTCTTATTTTCTCTGTCAGGACATTTGTAGAAACTCCCTGAACTATTGTCAAGAGCAATTTTAGCAGAACGCTAAACACTGGGCCAATAATTTGAGAGCATCAGTGCACTTAGGAAAGGTCCTACTGTCGTGGGTCAGTCATGGTGGCTTATGTCCATAATCCCAGCACTTTGGGAGGCCGAGGTGGGAGGACTGCTTGAGCCTAGGAGTTCAAGCAAGTCTGAGCAACATAACAAGACCTTGTCTCTACAAAAAAATCAAAAAATTAGCTGCACATGGTGTTGTGCCTGTAGTCCCAGATACCTGGGAGACTGAGGAGGAAGGATCACCTAAGACCAGGAAGTCAAGGCTGTGGTAAGCTGTGATTTGCCACTGCACTCCAACCCGTGTGAAAAAGTGGAATCCCTCCAAGGAAGGAAGGGAGGGAGGGAGGAAAGGAAGGGAGGAAGAAAGGAAGGAAGAAAGGAAGAAAGGAAGGAGAAAAAGCCCTCCCTCCTCTGTGAGTTCTGTCAGCTTCTTTTCATTCTACCTGGCAAATTTTAGCCATACGATGTGTTATGTTGAGTTGTATTAAAAAAACAACCTAGCAAATTTAGGGCTCTCATCAAGTATTATAAATACCTTGACTTTCAGGCAATTATATGCTTACTTGCTTTTCAACAACTACATGCAGTATAAGAAGCACGTGTGTGTGTGTGTGTGTGTGTGTGTGTGTGTGTGTGTGTGTGTGTGTGTGTCTTACCTTATGGACCCAAGTTTTTGGTATTCTTGCTTTATCACCTCAGCACAAGCTTTTTGTTGAACTGTTCTGGCTTTTCCACAGCTGAACATCTCTTTAAAGCTGAAAAGAATAAATTAAGTCCATTAAGCAAGGAATGCTTTCACTACAACCCCCTATTACAAAGGATTTTTTTTGATAAATTCATAAAAAAAATCAGTGATTTTTGCCTGTATCTCCATCTTTTTCTTTGAATTATTTGAATGTCCTTTCCCTTCTTTTCGGTTTTTGCCTGGTTTGCTCACAATTTCAATGTTTAATTTTTGCTTCATATTTTCTGTGACATCTTTCTCCAGTTTCTTTTTTTCCTCCAAGTTCTTTTGCACCATTAGAATTTTGTTATGTGCTACCTATCTTTAACTCTTTAATTTATATTTCATCATTATATTTTAAAAATATATACATAATATATCCTGGTTGTTAAGTTTTGCTCACGTGTGAGTTTTATTGCACTTGCTAGATAACAAATTATTTGAAGGCAGGAACAGTGATTGTGTAATAGGTGTTTTCTTTGGTCCACTATCTCTAAACACTGGCAAACACAGTAAATACTTGACTCATCAACCCAGTAGTATCTCTGGCAGATTTATGAGACAGTTGGTGTCAGATCCATCAATTTTTGCAAAGTATGCAAAACCTGAGTTATACATTAGGGCAAGGAAGTCACATATATTGATCATGGTCAGAGTCCAAACTAGGTCTATTCTCAAAAGTAAAACCAACTCTATTACATTTTTTCTTTAATTTTCTCCACTCAATTCCCAATAGCACCTGCTGTATAATCTTCCAGCTTATTTTTGACAGCAACTGCCACTCTTTATTGCTTTTAGAAAGCTGCTTGTTCGAGTGACCTCTTTCTCCTGTGACTAATTTTTCTGTCCTGAAGTCTGGGTTCTTCAAAACTTTGAACAATTTTTGTAAAACACTGCTCTCGATGTAGATTTTAAAAACAAATTTCTCCAGGGGAAGGAAAAATCAGAAAATGGCTAGATTCTTTTGGGTTATCTCTTGGAATGTGTATGAGTAACTCAGTTAAATTTACATTATGTGTGGGTATAGAAAGCAGGGACATTCTCTTCCGTAAAATTGTTGGGGTAAACATGGGTATTTGTAAGTAGGAAGATTGGAGTGTTGGGAGGGAAACTATCACTCAAAGACGCAATGTATGTTTTACTTGTTCAGACTGTGATTCTCTTTGAAAGGACAGAATATCCCCATTTCTTAAGTTATTCCCCCTACACATTTGTAATCACCCATCTTCATACATACACTCCAATCACTGAACACAAGTAGATGAACATTGTTGCATTTTTGCTTAATGAGGGGGTAATTACTTTTTACAATCTCAGTTAAATGATTGACCAGTACCAGTACTGAAAATTTAGCCTGTGTCACAACAAAAATACAAATATTATAGGAAATGAATTCATGAACCATCTGGGAAGCATCCATGAAAGAGAAAAGCATAGATAAAGAAAGAGATAAGAGTCTCCTAAGAAATTATTTTCCATGCAGCACATTTATATGTACTTTGTCATTTGGTTGCAGAAAATAAATGGTTAAGTCAAAAGTCAAATTGGCTTTGCTACAAATGAAGGTTAATGCCTTCACAAAGGAACTGACAAAGCATATGACAATGCATCAGCCTCTCCATGTAAGTTCGTTCAGTGGCACTGATAGATGAGCTTCTTTTCCCGGATATGTTGGGGTCATTTATAACGGATGAGTTAACTGTGTTAACAACCAACACACTAATCAGAATGTAGGCTACTCTGCCAGGGGAGTAGCTGATAATTTCTGTTTGTCGATCTAAAACCTCTGGAGGTGAACACCCTGGCAAACTGAAAAGGACACTGAAAAATTAGCTGGAGCATGAAGCTGTGAAGAGTCTAGCTAATAGTGGACACCAAGGGAACTGTTTAAACATGACACTGACCATGATTTATGGACTTTGCCTAATGTATGCATGTCACAGGATTTTTTTCCTCATAGAGAAATCATTTCAAAGCACTTGCCCTTTAGCTTCTTAATTTCTCCTTTTTAAGTGGTAGACCATTTTAAAATAGTGACAATGATTGCATATATATTTTATAAAGTCATTATACATAGCAACAAAGAACAGGACAAGTGTGGGCCCATGGCTCCACTGACTGGGATTCCTGCCTGCTGTATCCTGCATTGCTACCTGTACAATTGAATAGGCCCCCAAAGGCTTGGATTTCCTGAAAGAGCACTTAGTATGCAGCTGGCCTCTCCCCATTGATGCCCACCTGCTGAAGTCAGTGACATTCTACACATTTGCTTCAGCGGGAAGACTGCCACACGCTGCTCCCACAATCTGGATAGAATTTTTTTTAAAAAGATCATCAGTACCATCTTCTCACTCCTAATGAAACTGTGGCAGTTTGGGGGAAAAGCCAGAAGGAGGAATCAAGAGGGGAGGATGCCAGTCCTCATATTGCCAGGTTTAGAAAATGCGGGCTCAGGCATGGAACCACACCTGATCACAGTGTTTTGCTTTTCAAAGGAAGTACAAATAGCTGATTTCAGCCTCACTAGCTTATGGAATCACATGCTGTTTTATTCATAGGTCTTTGAAATTATTTAAATAAAACCCTACAAAAATAAACTGGAATTATTTTATTTTTCAGGAAAACATCTCAAGGTTTAATGCACAGTGATTTCACCATTCTTTTAGGGAGTATTGTAAATGAGTTGAAAGTACAATGCCACATTTTAGATTTTGCTGAGGAACCTTTCATAATTTTATATGCTGGCTGTCATCGTAGTCACAACTCATTGGTACTTACAAACTACCAGCTTTGATCCCAGTCAAGGCACTATGTTGAAATCTTTGAATACATATGTTTGTCATTTTAGTGGCATCAGTAGGTCTCTATTGATCAATGTTTCTTACTTTGTCTTTTATGTGGTCAACTTGGGACCATATGTGTTAGAATTATAGCATTGAAAGTGATCTAATACAGGTAAATTCTATTATTTTACAGGAGAAGACACTGAGACTGAGAATGGGTCTGGATGTGCAAAGATCACTCATCTGACCTTTGAGGAGCCATGACTTTATTCCTGGCCTCATAATTCCTAATTCAATATTCTTTCCACAGAGAACATTCTCAGGTCTTTATTTTACTAGATATTTTGAAAATGACATCAATTTTGGTGCAAGTATGAAGCAAGAAGTCCTACATATTACAGTTTAAAGTAGCTCAATAACCCAAGAAAATCTCCGTGTTAACCAAGTGGAGGGGTAAATCTTCTTAAAATTCTACTCTAGTAAGTTGGACATTGTACTGAGTTACTTATGCCTTTCTGGTCTATTCATATCTTATTGGATTAGGACTCAAGGCACACCTAAATGGATTTTCTTTCTTTTTTTTTTTTTGAGTTGGAGTCTCACTCTGTCACCCAGACTGGAGTGCAGTGGCCACTCCCAGCCACCGCAGTCTCACCCTGCTGGACTCTAGCGATCCTTCCACCTCAGCCTTCCAAGTAGCTGGAACTACAGGAGCATGCTACCATGCCCGGCTAATTTTTTGATTTATTGTAGAGATGAGGTCTCGCCAAGTTGCCCAGGCGGGTCTCGAACCTGTGGGCTCAGGCAATCCACTCACCTCAGTCTCCCAAAGCATGGGATTACAGGCTGAGCCACAGAGCCCGGCTTGGATTTTCTTTCTACAGACTCTCTTTTATGGTCGGTGTTGCTTAAATCAGATTCTAGCTTATCCTTAAAGAATATACTTATGTGTGCCAATTTTGTGGGTAATGAAAATTCAGAAAAGGGGAAAGAGCACTGGATACGGAGCTGATAACTTGGAACCTAGTACCTTTATGTACTCTATTCACATGGAATATTTACTTACTTGAATCCTAGGAAAAACCACTGAAGCCAGATCCAGGACAAGAGTAGTAAAATAATTGCAACTGGGAAGGAAAATAGGAACCATGATCCAAAGTTGAGGCAGCGACAATCAGGATAGCGTCTGTGTGGAAATATGGAGAAGTGTTCAGGGGTAGGACAGCTGGAATCCTTCCTGATGGTCACTGGGAAGCAGCAGTCCACACCTTTCCAGTGCTGCTGGCCAAGAAGGAAGTCCTGGGACATACTCGTCAAGTACCATGGTTCTACTCCTTGTCTCCTAACTTGATTCTGTAACTGCATGAATCCTGCTGCATCCCACAAGTGCAAGAGGGGGTATGTTTTGATTTCTGTTCCCTCTATTCAATCTCCAAGGAAGTGCTTGTGAGGAAAACCTAGCACAGCACTTGATATTCACTCAACACACAAGAAATGAGTGCAAATGGTGGGGAGGGTTGTTTTGTTGTTGCTCTCAAATCATCAGTATACCAGTGAAGAAAAGACACAGAATTAGGAACAGGTGAAAATGCAGGGGACTGAATGTCCGCTCCCATTTCACCTTGGTAACTGGAATCCTTGGCACCTAAGAAGGGATTCTGATCCAGCCTGTGTCGTCTCTTATGACTGTTTCTCCTCTGTTTCTTCTGCTTCAAAGCACTGCAATCACCTTACCAGGCATGTGGTAGTTCTTTCTTCCTAGAACTAGAAAGTGCTTTGGGGTTCAGTCAAATGGTAAAACTGAGCCAGATAAAAATAACAAAAAGTTCTGTGGAAAATTTCCAAGTTTCCCTTATCATTTCTAGTTATCATCAACTTTTTAACTCTTATAAGAACAAAACAACAGTAACAACAAATAAAGGTCAGATACAATCCCAATTTCTTTGGTAACCCCACATGCATTGTTCTAAAATGTAGTCTAACTGCCAAATAAATGGGCTACCTGAGACCCATTCCCCACCACTACGAATAAGTCCACATAATGGATACACATGTGCACCCCTGCACCTAAAATTAAAAATAAATAAAAATACCAAATAACTTCTCATATAGTCATCTGTTTTATAACTATGAACAAAGTGATAGAAGATTTGAGATATAGTTGCCTTCAAGTTTTTTTTTTTCTTGAAGCAGTAACACAGAGTTGGAAATCGGAAGAATACAGAAAATATACAGAAATGAGAAAAATAACATTAACATTTTTTTCTTTTTCTTTTTCTAAAGATGTGGGATACAATTCAGGAGTAGGTATACAAGTGGTCATCATACAGGTAAAGTTTGGGGCCTCCCTTTGGTCCCCACTTTGCCTGGTTTGAGATCAGATACCCTTATTGATGTTGGGTCCCACCTGCTACCCTAGCTTCGGTTGTATATTATGCAGTCATAAAGAAGGACAAACATATGGGCTTCGCAGCAACTTGGATGGATTTAGAATCTATCATATCAGTAATCTACCACAGAAACAAAGAACAGAGTACTACATGTTCTCACTCATAAGTAAACCTTGAACAATTAACATATTTTTGGAATCATAAAATATTTAGAATATTATAAAGATGTAAATTTTTAATCCTTGTTCTAGTTAAATTACAACTTATATTTTGTCACCTTAAAAAAGATTATGTAATAAATGGAATGCTTCATGCTACCACTATGTAGCAAATTTAAGAACATCAGTGTTTTCCTTTTTCTATTTTTTTTTTTTTTTTTTTTGAGTCAGAGTCTCACTCTGTCACCCAGGCTGGAGTACAGTGGCACACTCATGGCCACCACAGCCTAGATCTGCTGGGTTCAGAAGATCCTTCCACCTCAACTTTCCAAGTACCTGGAATCACAGGTGCCACCAAGCCTGGCTAATTTTTTGATTTATTGTGGAGACAAGGTCTCGTCAAATTGCCCAGGCTGGTCTCAAATCCCCAGGCTCAGGCAGTTCTCTTGTCTCTGTCTCCTAAAGTGTTGGGATTACAGGCATGAGCCATCTTTGTCCAGCCCCTTTCCTACTTTAATAGTTTCCTAAGTGATGCAAAGACTTAAAAACAATAATAATAGACTCTCAAAACTCTAGATTTCTTATGTCCCCTGCAATTTTGTTTGAGCTTATAAGAAGTTACTAATCTTCTTGGGTCCTAGAGTTATCATTAGCAACTTGAAAATAATTTTTATCTACCTCAAAGAGATCCAAAGATTAACTTGCCTATTTCTGCAATTATAAAGTAGCAAGTAATAATAGAATGGATGAATGGAAAAATGCTTTGTCACATTAATGAGGCTCTACAGAAAATTGCTCATTTTTGAAAAATGTTTGTTGTCTCCAGTTGGAAATTAAAAGAAGGGGGAGAAGGGCTTCAAGCTGATTTCCCATCATTTTATTAGACTTGGACTATGGGATGACCTATGTTTTTCTGTGCAGCCTCATGACACTTAGAAAGGGCTACTTGGATTACATTTAGAACAACGTCCCCAAGCTTGCTTTCATTGTTCACCATCTGTGGCTCAGACTTTGGAATCAAGCTTCATTCTTTTTCCCACCCACTGGAGAGAATTCTGTAAAATGTGTTTGACTGAAGAAGGGCTTTTCAGATTTTTTTACCTGGAGGGATAGCGTATTTAGAAAAACGAAAGCCTGAAAAAGTTAAGCTTTGTTGTCTTGTTTTGTTTAATTCAACAGTAAGGAAGCCTATAAACAAACACATAAGACTATGCCTCACTTATCATAACCTTTACTCTAAAACCTGGAGTAAATATTCCGAATAAATGATGTAAAGAACACTGTTGGTGGGAGTGTAAACTAGTGCAACCTCTGTGGAAAGCAGTGTGGCGATTCCTAAAAGCTCTAAAAATTGACCTTCCATATGACCCTGCAATTCCCCTACTGGGAATATACCCTGAAGAACACAAATCACTCTATAAAAAAGATACCTGCACACATATGTTTATCGCAGCGTTGTTCACAATAGCAAGAACCTGGAAACAACCATGCTGCCCATCAAAAGAGGACTGGATTAAAAAAATGTGGAACATATACATGATGGAATACTATGCAGCCATAAAAAAGAACAAAATCATGAATTTCGCAGCAACCTGGATGGAACTAGAGTCTATAATACTGAGTGACCTCTCACAGAAACAAAGATCCGAGTATCATATGTTCTCACTCATATAATGGACCTTGAACATCCAATGTAATACTATAAGAAAATGACTGATGGTACTGGGAAATTATGGGGGGAAGGGGGATGGGATTAACAGTAGCAAATATCTGTCAGGGGATGGGAGAACACTTCTTATCTACAGGGTGCCTGAATGAAACGTCATTGTACACCTAACCCTTAACTGTACCCCACAAAACCATAATAAAAAATACTGATTAATAAAAAAAAAGAGTGATGTATTCTAAAGAATTAATTTTGCTATGATGTTTCTTTTTTCACTTTTCTTCATTTCCTACAAGTGAAGTGACTGTAAACATATGCCTAAAGCAAATATAGATTTTTTTTATCATGAATTATTTTATGAAATTTAATTTGGATAAAATTCTTTTTTTTTTTTCACCCAACCCTGTTTGGGTGTTAGGTACTCTTCTAGCTACTGAGGATACAGTGGTGAGTGAGACGAATGTGACCCAGGCTTTCATGAAGTTTATGTGAAAGTGGGGCACACAGTCAATTAACAAGTCAGCATACAAAGACATAGGAAATAGAACAGAAAAATGGAGCACAAAGTTATTAAGTGAAGGGAGACTTTTTCAGAATGTGGTCAGAGAAGGTGACATTTGAGATGAGATCTACATAGCAATGAGGACCCCGTCATGTAAATAACTGGGAAACAGTATTTTAGATGGAAGAAGTGGCAAGTACAAAGTTCTTGAGTTAGGAATGAATTTGGCATGTTTGTGGATGAGACAGAAGGTTATGGTGACTGTGGATAGTGATCTGAGGTTACAGTGACATGAAATAAAATCCATGAAGTAGCAAGTAGGGACCAGATCATATATAACTTTGTAGGTAATCAGGTAAAAAAATAAAATAAATAAAATCCAGGTGATTTGGGTTTTATTACAAATGCAGTAAGGAGCAATTGGAAGATAGTAAGTTCGTAATGTCATCTAATTGGTGATTTACATAAAAGATTTTGGCTCCTGGGTGTACACTCAGTATTGAAGGCAAGGTGAGTGGAAGCCAAGGTGTGGTGGGCAGAGTCCCAAGATGGTCTTCCAAATCTCTGCCTCCTGGTCTATATGTCTTGTTTAGTCTTCTCCTCTTCTGTGTAGGTAGAATTTATGAATATGATGAGACATCACATCTGTGATTACAACGCTTTGTGGTAAAAGGGAAGGGACTTTGCTTAGGTCATCAAGATCCCTATCCATTTACTTTGAATCCAAAGGGGGTGGGAAATTATCCTGGGTGGGCCTGAATTAATCAGGTAAGCCCTTAATAGAGACTTTCCTGCTGGCCTGAAGAAGTAAGCATCCTATGTTGTCCCAGGAAAGGCCATATAGCAAGGGTCTGAGGGCATCTGGAAACTGAGAGTAACTTCACTCTAATAGCCAATACGAAAATGGACACCTCAGTAGTTAAACTGCAAGGACCTTAAATCTTCCAACAACTTGAATATGCTTGGAAGAATACCCTGAGCCCCTGTCTAGGTTACAGGTTTAGCTGATATCTTGATGTCAAAGAACTCACGTAAGCTTGCCTGAACTCCTGACCCACAAAAATAATGAGATAATAGATTTGTGGTATTTTAGGCAGCTTAGGTGATTGTCATTTGTAACATAGCAATAGGAGATGATTACATGGGGAAATCTATTCGAAGACAAAGTTTCCTGGGGATGGAGGGTAGTGTGGAGTAAATTTTAGCTTAAACAGGTTGGTGGTGGAGGAGATGAAGAGAAAACATTTGATTTTAGATATATTTGGAGCCGGGCTCAGTGGCTCAGTCTGTAATCCCATGCCTTTGGGAGGCTGAGGTGAGTGGATTGCCTGAGCCTGCGGGTTCGAGACCCGCCTGGGCAGGCGAGACCTCATCTCTACAATAAATCAAAAAATTAGCCGGGCATGGTAGTGCACGCCTGTAATTCCGGCCACTCGGAAGGCTGAGGCAGAAGGATCGCCGGAGCCCAGC